GAAGTGGGTTCTGACTCGTTTGGAAAACGGGAATACTCTGCCCTGCTCCTTGCATCCCATAAACTTGGTTTTGAAAATTGGTTTCAGGAGCAGTAGGGATATTTTGAAAAAGATGATATAACGGAGGGAGATTAAATTGTGGTGAAGGCTGATTTTGGGAAAAGATCGGAGTGCGGTAATTTTGAAAACCTGGAGGGTTTCTAGGTGAAATTGGTGGTGAAGATTGGGGTGATATGTTATGATAGAAATATGGCTGAGAAGTAGGGTTGGGGTTACTAGATGACCCTATGTTTCCTATGTTTCCAGATGAAGATTGATGGTCCATGGTAATTTTCTCTTTGTGAGTCTTGCGGTTCTGTCTGGCGAGCATTTCAATCTCTAGATTAAGAGGGATTAACGGTTCTCCCTTCTTGGAGCATGTATGCATAAACATATCTGACCTGCAAGGTTAGCAGACAAAAATCTTACGAAAAACTAAAAACGAATCGCTGAGTAAAATTAACCCTTAAGACCGACACCGTCCCCGGCAACGGCGCCAAAAACTGATGTGAGTTTTCTCGCAATTAAAAAGATTGTAGAATAGTAGTGAAAATACGAGTATCGTCTCCACAGACACGGACAAAAGGGAATGAAAGATTAACTAAATTGAGCGATTAAAAAGAAATAAATAAAATGCGGTCGTGCGAGATTTGGTTGATTGAGAAAATTAAAATTGCAAATAAACGAATAATAGAAAAGATTTGGGTTCTTCTTAATTAATGACGAAGGGAACAGGGATTGATTCCGGGGTAATCAGATTTCTGGCAGATCAGGCTTAATTACATGAAATTAGTTTAATTTAGACTAGCTAATCAATACTAAGTTCTTACCGCTGTCGCGGCGAAGAGTACAATAATTTAGGGGACCAGGCTGATCATTCATGCGACAGGATCCTAAATTATTGCCAAGGCGAGCGAGCTTACGGCTCCTTAATCGCTACTAATCTCTTAGCGAACGATTAAGTGTGCGTGAATGTGTCTTAGAACAAATTAGATCTCTCTTAATTTATTCTATGTGCAATTGTAATTCTAGTGGTCATTTTAGGTTACAAAAGATATCAGTTAAATTATTCAAACACAAATTAACCAACATCCATGCAATTAAACCATCAAGAAACTAGCCATACATCATGATAAACCCCTTCATCAACCCCAAATCCCTAATTAAAACTACTTCCGACTCATAATTGAAGAATCAATAGAATTGGGAAGAATAGAAATAATTGCTATTAATTAAAAAGTAGGAACATACAAAGAATCTTAAAGAATAGAAAAAACCAGGGCTAAAAAGCTCTCAAATTCGTCCTTAAGCTTGCTCTCAAAGTTCCTTCACCCATTATTAGGGTTATGGGGAGTTATTTATAGGAAACAAGGCAATTTGGGCTGAATTAGGACAAAACGGGGTCAGGCACGGCGCCAGGCACGACCGTGCCTGCGGAAGCATCCCATTTAAACGCGTCCAGGCACGGCGTGCCTAACTGCCAGGCACGACCGTGCCTGGCCTCCAGTAACTTGTTCCTCGTTTCACTTCAGGCACGGCGTGCTTGGCCTCCAGTAGCTCATCCGCTTCATTCCTAGGCACGCACGGCGTGCCTAACGCCGGGCACGACCATGCGTGACCTTATTCTTCACTTTTTCTTCGTTTTCTTGTTCCAAACGCTCCCGGATGTATACGAGGTCAATCCAAATACTCGTTCTTCATCAGAATTTCGTCGTGAATCTCCCGATGACCTCGAAATCTCTCAAATCGTCTTGTAATGCCTTCAAATCCTTCCTGAATGCCTCTCAAGCGCTGATTGCCGGACTCTAACTTCTTCAATTCAACTCGAAATGCAAAGAAACTCGACCCAATGTCTGATAATCGCAACTTGAGCTAAAATTAAGACTTGCAACACCTTAAAGCTAGGAAAACCATCAAAATCCAACCCGAACACGCATCAAATGTGTGTCTAAATACGGACTTATCAAGGGACGTTCGTCCGGTGATCCTCATGGGTTAATGGGTCGTTCCTATTTGGGCCAACCGAGTTGATAAAAATGTTCGGGCAACCCAAGTGCTATGTTGACCCGATAAAATATAATATAATTAAAACTGTCCGGAAAATACAACTTTCGGGACCAAGTATACACCTTGAGACATGTTGGGATGACCTCCCACATGGGTGGGGGCCAACCCACGTTTGGAGTCTTGCATTTAGAAAATATGAGTCGCACAGATCACTAAGATCAAATGAATAGAGAGACAAAGCATTAAATGAGGTAAGACCTCATTTATGTATTATTGAGAGAAATACCAAAAAGGCATTCTCAATCACACCCACCCTCATCATTTCAACGAAGCCTTCATCCAAAGAAACGAACTCTGCAACGCTCGATTCTTATTAGCCAAAACATAGCTCGAGCAAGGTCTGTCCAAAGAAGAAGAGTAAAGAAGGAAAAAGTTAGAAAATGTGTGAATGCTTAAGGTAATAACCTTATAATAACGTTTCCTCTACTTTTCATTCATCATATGACATATATAGCATATGAAGGACCCCTGGGAATGTTCTACAAGTTTAGAAGTGTAGAACAAGGGGTTGGAAGGTAGTTCTAAGTCCAAGAACGGACTTAGAAGCCAAAACGACCGGTTAGCCGGAAAATAACCTTTTACAGGTTATTTGGGTTTATATGGGTTTTGTGATGATAAAACCTTGTTAGGAGTTTGACTAAGGGGTTCCGAGTTGTCGCCGGAGTTTCGCCGAAGTTTCGCCGGAGTTCGCCGGAGTTTCGCCGGAGTTCAACCAAGAAGGGTAGAACTTCTTAAAGCTCATTCGAGGTGAGGATGGCTTAATATATTGCTTATAATTAGTGAGTTGATTTCATAAGATTACCTAAGGTAATTAAATATGTTTTTGTATAGGTTATTCATGAATAATAATGTCTAAAATGAGAAGACTATGGTCAATAGAGGAAGAGAGCATGATATACATAGTTGGAACAAATTATGTATGTTTATGTGTTGTAGGAATAATGATATGATAGTTGGATAACTACAAGGTTTATTGATAAAATATACTTTTACTTCATATATATAAGGATTATATGCATGTGAAAAGTGATATTTTGTATATTAAATAAATTATATTTTTTATTGGAAAATCAGTTTGAATTGGCCATGTGACTATGAACGGAGGACTTGATTGTTCTAAGGTTCATTCAACTAGTATTGGAATACTAGTCGAGAATTAAATGAGTGATTATGCTAGAATTGATCCTAAAGTTGGATTGTGAATTATATGCCTTAAATAGTCTTAATAGATACTTTAAGGTGGACATGTATGAACTCTAAGTTGTATTAGGGGTAGGCCTTAAGGGATGCCCAAGATAAAGTGAATAATAAATTGATCCTAGATATAGGATTGACATACGGGCGTGTTCGGTAGTCCTTGAGGATAGCCGGTTGAATTATGATAATAAGTAAGGACCATGACCCTTCCTAACTCTAGAGAGCGTGGTTGGATAGCATGGACTTGTAGCGTGATCACGTGTAGGGTGGAATCCGAATCGGAGACCTAACTAGGCTCCAACAGCGGTAACACATAAGATAGGACCCTGACGGGCCTTACCTTCCTACGGGATAATGGGTATGAGTCCAGGGGCGGGATGTTGGAATCCGAACCGATGACCCTATGAGGCCTCGGACAGCGGTAGCAAGTCCCGTAGAAACAATAAGACCTACGGGTTGCTACTTATAGGTGTTTTTCAACACCTTTGGTCGGGTACTCGACCGGGGTACCGGTAAACTTCAGATCGATTCGCCTTGTTCTTGTGTTTCAGCACGTTTGGTTGTCCCGGGTCACTTCTCACCCGACCGTGTGAAGTAGATTAGCCAACCGGGTAGAGTAATTTCCTTGTAGCTTCGGATTTCAAGTCTTACCCGACCGGGTGAAGGTCTTTACCCGACGGGTAAGTGCTCCTGGGCAGCATATTTCAGATTTTTCCTCTTTTCCAAAACCAACAATTCTACCACTACTTTACAACTTATAAATGAAAGCTAAAATACAATTATAACTAAAATAACACAAATGTTTACAAACTAAATAATAAAGGTAGACAATCAACACAAATCAAACATAAAAACATGCATTTATGCACGTTTGTACTGACTTGATTGTGGAATCTATACATCGTTGAAAACATAATATTCTAACTCATCCATAGTCTAATATAATTTATATGAGACCTCAATAATTCATGCATGCACCAATGTGCGAATTAGCTGATAATTATGTTCATGTATATATATGGGATTGGAACCAAAAGAATAATCTCAACAAACTGATTTTTCATGAAAGTTGAGAATTAAGTTGCAACTTGCAAGCATTGTAAATATTATAGAAAAGTATAATATTATACAAGTAGTAAATATTATAGAAAAGTACCAAGTATTAAAGAGAGGATAAAAATAAACAAATAAGATTATAAAAATAAGAATGTTTTTTTCATATTAGAGATATATAGTGGAAAACAATTGTTTGAAAATAAAAAAGTGGAATATACGACAATAAGTTTGTATGAAACGAAAGTGGACCAAATAAAAATGAGAAGTTTTTATGTGATACTTTTAATTGTTTGAACACTATAAAAGTTATTCACTTTTAGAGTTTTAGAAGAGGTTTATTTAATTTGACAAGATAAGGGATATTTTCCACAGAAAATGGGAGTGAAATTTATTTATTTATAATACGGGGTTCTGCGTATGAAGTTCCCGTCGGATTAAGGCGGATAAGAGGTCAAACTGTCAGTCAAACAATTACGTGGGCAAACAATGAATGACACATAAAGCCATTGGGACAAGCCACGAAGTTACCCGACACGTTATTTTCACCCCGTACGTATAGCCGCCGCAATGCACACCTTCAGACAACCACGCTTATTAACGAACAAACCGTGTTTACTTTAAGATTAGATTAGAAGTTAAGGATAATAACTGATGAAATTTATTTTTCATGCAAATGTATACAATTAACATCTCGACACACACTACAAATGAAAGAGCTAGAACTGGATCCGAAATAGAACAACAAGAAATGAAGTAAAATGGTACGGAGTATGTATGGTCGTCTTACATGAGCGATTTCAAGGACCGGGCCTTAACCGGTTTCCGTACTTTCTTCTTCTTGCCATCATTGTCACTCGGGAATTCATCTTCCAAACAATCCATCTCCGAACCCGAAGAAGTTGCGCCCATTATCGGATCAAATTCCGATGTGTTCGGGGAGTTGTAGTTCTCCTTCATTCTCCCGGGACCTCTTTTCTTGCCCCACAGCGGGCCGAAGCCCGTATAATAATATAAGTCGTACGGGTTCGAGGAGACTCCCGAAGTCTTCTTCGGCCGAGGGCGCCGCCCTCGGCTTGTCGTAGCCGCAACGGACTCTTCGGGCACCGGAGGAGGAGCGGCCTGTTTATCTTCCTCCACCGGCATCACCTTGTTGTAGTGCTTGAGCTGCCCGAAGTGGTGGTCACACAAAGTGTGGCCAACTTTGGCCTCTCGTTTACACTGCCACGCCTTGCCATCGCTCTTGCAGCACAGATTCACGGAATGCTCTTGCTCTGCCGCGTCCCGGAAGCGGCTGCCGGCGGCGACGACACTGCTTCCCGGAGAGACCATGCCGGATTCAGAGCTAAGAAAAATGAAATCCCGCAATTAGAGAAGGAAAATAAATCGAAAATGGCGAAACCCTAATTATTGCTATCAGGAAGCAGGGAGAATGTGGAGGATAATAGACGGAAAGAGTGAAATTGAGTAGACGGCGTCAACACTAACCTGTGAACAGCTTCATTTGAACCGTCAAGGGGATAACTTCCGCATCCATCGAACTGAAATGAGCAACAAAAAATGGCGATACAAAACAACAAGAATAAGAATAGGAAGAGTCAATACAAAGGGGGGAATAGGGGAAAACAGAGGAAACAGATCACTGAAATCGAATGAAAATGCATAAAAACACGACGGAAACGGTGAGATTTGGAGGCTCCCGCGTACCCTAAAGGGAGTCCCATTCGAGAATATAATGCCCTAAATAATACTCCGTAATAATAATAATAATGACCCAAAAGCAAAAGCGTTGATTGAAAGGGAAATGAAAAACGGGAAGCGGCGGATCTGAAAAGAGGCAGAGAGGAGAAGGGGAGGAGAGATTGGCTGACCAGGGGAGCGTGCGGGCCGTGCGGCGGCGGCGGCGGACGCAGCGTGGAGGGAGAAGGTTGTTGTTCATCTTCAAGGGGGAAGGTGACGACGTCCCAGGGAGACTGATTGAGTTGGCAGAAATGGGTCTGAAGAAGGGCGGAGGAGTTGAGAGAGGCGGCGGCGTACGTGAGGGGTGACACCTTCGCATGCTTCCTGATTCTCATGCCGGAAAGCTCACTCTTTCTTCTTTAGCCTATTTTAATTTTATTTGTTTGTTTGGCATAAAGAGATAGATACTTCAGTTGCTTGACACACATATGGATAGAGATAGAGAGAGAAAGGGGTGAATTCCAGACTCCAGCCCGCTTCTAAATTTTCTTTCTCATTATTTATATTGTTATTTTCATGTGAATACTTGTGGCAATCTTTTACGAGGAGGCCAGTGTCTGTTTTGAATTTCTACTTTTCACTTTAAGTTGTAATAATAAAAGGTGAAACTTTGCTGCCGAGTGACAGGTAGATTGGGATTTGGGAAGCCTCACACTCGAGTATGAAGTATTGAAATGAGGGGTTCGTGAGCTTAGTCCAATGGATAGCTCAATTGGTCGAATGGTGAGAAAATTAGATCAAGTGATCAAAGTTCAAAAATTCGCAGCAGCCGTGTGGAGGTTACAGAACCTGAAATAAGGCTGGATCTCTGTTGTGCACGTGTATAAGGTCTACCGCCGCTTTGCTGACTGAGTCACCGTGATTAACCTCCCCACCATCCAGTCGGGTCGGGGTGGGGGCTCCTGAGATAGGAGATTCTACCTTTTGGACCAAATGATCATTCACCACAAGTCTCTCCTTTGTGGGAGTTCTTGAGTTCAATTCTCACCAAGGGGAGATGAGGGAGATCTTGCTCCCAATGATTCTTCTTACCTTCACAGAGTTGCTCAACAGCTGAGAAGGGAGAGGATGGTAATGATTAATGAAGGTAGCGGGTTCGTGTGGTGGGAGGAACAACCTGAAAGGTGATGTAAGTCCTGCTGCATTCGTCCTTTGGAGCCAGTACTGACGAAGCTGACTATGATCAGATCCGGATTTAGCTGTCTAGGTGCTTTAGAGGATAGTTCATAGATTCCAGGATTATGGGAGCGTAAGCCCCGAAACCTGGATTATCAAAAAAGTATTGAAATGAGAAATTGTCCAAGGACTAAACCTAAATATAAACATCAATTTTTTACCCCTAATATATAATTAATATAATTAATTTCACTCTAATTCACTCGCATAATCAAGGTCACTACATTGGTGGCAGAACGTGGTCGCTACATCTCGACGACAACCTGATGGCGGCAAAAATTTGGCAATAGGTGGTGGTCAAGTTCCGACGCCTGGCGGTGGCGGCATCTTGGTGGCAATCCAAACCCCTGCACATGTATTTTGTTCACATACACATGAATTCCTATTTAGGGAATTTAAAACGATAAATCTTTTTTTGCATTTGGACCATATTTTACTCTTATTTTGGAAATTCACTCTTAAAATACCTTCAAATGAATACCCATATATCTCTTTCTCATCTTATTAATAGCTTCGCCTTTGACTTGTTATGTAAACTAGCAAAGTAAAATTTACGTAGTATAAGATAGATAATTGTTACCTAAAAAAAAAAGATAGATAATTGTTTGTAAAATAAACATATTCCTCTGAGTCATAAATACGGGTGATGGAGTATATGGCCCGGGAACACCCGGCCCACAGACTCCTATTACACCAATGAAGGCCCGACAGGCCCAGGAGGCCCACCAGGACCAAATCACGGCGCCCAGAGTACCAAGCAGCCCGCAATACGCACCAGGGGTGCCCTCGGCCCCCTGGCCGAAGGCTCTAAACTCTCACAGAATGGGTTTTCCAGGCAAACTAAGAAACTGGGAGAAAACGGCGAAAACAGTAGCGCTCGGCACCTGGAGCCCTCGACACTCAGGGGTCCTCGGCACTAAGAGCCCTCGGCTAGTCCTCTGCAGCCGAGGGCACCTCTCCCGACATGATATTCGCCTCACATGCGTACAGATCACCGTACCCTGTACAGACGTCCCATCCAACAGCCGCATTAAATGCGGCCACATGCGGCTGCCAACGCCAACCAGTTGAGGTGACCCCTCGGCCAATAGGCGCTTGACACGTGTCCCTGCCAGGCATTTATTGCTACTATAAATAGCACCCCATTTCCCCATTTGTAACCACGCTGAAAACGCGCCGCATTTATAATACACTCTCTCTCTCTACATTTACTTGCTCTGACTTCTCTCTAAGTTATTCCCAACAATAACCCTTCGGATATATACCCCCGAGTAGACTATCCATCATTTGGTGCTCTCGTTGAGAGGTCGAACAATCAAGTAAGAAATCCTCCTCCTCGACCAAACACAAAACACCTAGCTAAAATGGTGAGAACAACACGTGCCAACTCAAAAAATGTAGAGGACAAGAACGTGGCCCTCGGCGACGTCAACGCCCCCGAAGCCTCTCACAGGGCTCCCGAGGGCGAGGTCATCTGTAATACCCGAGATTAATTTAAGAGGATTAATAGTACTACTCATACCAATAAGGTGCATCTCCTTTTAAGGGAGCTCATTAGCCAAGAACTCCAAAGTTAAGCGTGCTTGCACGGGAGTAGTCTTGGGATGGGTGACCCCCTGGGAAGTTTCTCAGGGCGCGCACGAGTGAGGACAAAGTGCGCGGAAAAGGCTAGTGGCGGTTTGTGAGGACAGTACTAGAGGTCAGAAGTAACTACCTCGGGGCCTACGGGGCCGGGGTGTTACAAGTGGTATCAGAGCAACCCTGCGACAGTGTGTTGACCCGTTAGATATCGGGCAGGCACTTAGCGGGGCAAGATTCTGGGGTTTGATTGAGAGTGTTAAGGGCGCAACGAGGACGTTGCGATCCTAAGTGGGGGTGATTGTAATACCCGAGATTAATTTAAGAGGATTAATAGTACTACTCATACCAATAAGGTGCATCTCCTTTTAAGGGAGCTCATTAGCCAAGAACTCCAAAGTTAAGCGTGCTTGCACGGGAGTAATCTTGGGATGGGTGACCCCCTGGGAAGTTTCTCAGGGCGCGCACGAGTGAGGACAAAGTGCGCGGAAAAGGCTAGTGGCGGTTTGTGAGGACAGTACTAGAGGTCAGAAGTAACTACCTCGGGGCCTACGGGGCCGGGGTGTTACATCATCGCTGGGCTGGAACAGGCGGCTGTCGACCTACGCCTTCAGATCCAACAAAATGCCCCCGATGCCCGCCTCGGCATCGAGGCCAAGAAGAAAAACCGGAGCGATGACCAAGTCAGCCCTCCGGTTCTCACCATTGACGTGCAATCGGCGCTCTCCGCCTTCATCCAAACGCTCACTCAGAACCCGGGTGCCTTCGGCACCCTGGCTCCGGCTCACCCCCAGGTTGGGGAAAACATCATACTTCCCCCTCCGCCACACCCCTTCGGAAATCCCACCCCTCGGGTAAGGAACGACGAAGGGGTAGTGGCCCAGGATACGTCCTCCCAGGAAGTACAGTCCCGGGACTGCCACAATGACAACAGGGAGAGGCCCCGCACTTCCGCCCTCAACCGGCTCTGAGGAGGGCCAGACCGCCGAGGGGTCCAAGACCGCCTCGGAGGAAAGGCACTCCAAAGGCCTCAAGAAAGTGGAGGGTCTGTCTCGAGGGCAAACGAGGAGCGTCCCCCTCGGGACAAAGGCAAGGCACCCCTTCATGCCGATGATGCTCGCCACCAGATCAACCAGGACCACTCGGCCCGGGTTCGTTCGCAGGGGGCGGAGACCCTCCCGAAGGATCCCCGGGACGAGATTATTGCGGCCCTCCAACGCCAGCTTGACGAAATGGAGTCCAACAAAGCTCACGCCACCACCTCCACCCCTCATTCAGGCCTCAAATACGAGGCCATGATGGCCAAGATGGAGGAATTACAGAAGAAGGTGGTCGAGGGCTCCGGGGAACCCGTCATCCAGCTCCGGACCCGGACGCCATTTACCCCAAGGGTATTGGCGGCCCGGATCCCGGAAAAATACCGAGGGCAACACATACAGCCCTACAACGGGAAAACGGACCCCCAGGAACACTACAGCAAATACCAGAACAGCATGATGATGGTAGGGGCGTCAGACGAATATTTGTGTCGTTGGTTCCTCTCCACCTTAGAGGGGCCGGCATACGAATGGTTCAACAGGCTGCCCGAGGGCTGCATTGATTCGTGGCAAGAACTCGCCCAACGATTCTTGACACAATTTGCCGGGAGGCGTCGCACGAGGAAGCACTTCTCCCACCTCCTAACCATACGCCAAAAGAGGGATGAGACCCTTCGGGACTTCTTGGAGCGCTGGAGGACGGAGGTCGACGGTGCTGATGACGGGACCCTTCTGGCCCTCCTACAAACCGTCCTCCGCACCGACAACTTTTCAAGGAGCCTCATCATTGTACCCCCCGCGACTACATAAGGGCTTTGCAGCGGGGGGACCGATATGCTGAGGCCGAGGAGGTGGAGAAGTATCACCAGCATCCGGACCAGCAGCCCCCGAGGGCTGACAACAAGCATAACCGAGGGCCGGGGGCTCCTCCAAATCACCCCAAGTCTTCAGGACCCTCTGATGACCGCCCTCGGCAAGGCCAAGCCAAGCCCGGGGGAGGTTATAAGAGCAACCCCAAGACTTGGGCACAGCCCATTCTCCTGGACCGCCCTCGGACACCATTGACGCACCCCGTCAGCATCATCCTTGATTTTTCCGAGGAGAGGGGCCTCGTTGAGCGCGATTCCCGCGCGCCCCCGGAGGTACATGCTATCAACCCTCAGTTCCCATACTGTCGCTTCCATCGGCACCAGGGGCACAGAACCGATGACTGCCATCAGCTAAAGACGGCCATCGAGAGGTTAATACAAGCGGGACACCTGTCCCAATTTGTTCAGAGCCCTCGGCAGGAGGGACCTTCTCATCAGGGGCCTCCCCGAGGGCACCACACGAAGGTGAACGCTTGGGTGAACCCGAACACCATCCCCCTCGGCAAGAAGAGGGAGATCGGAAACTTGGAGGAAGAAGAGGAGGAGTACCCCCACTACCAGGAGAAAAAACGCCACATCCTCATGATCACCGGTGGCAATACAGGGGGCGATTCCACCAGCCAGCGAAAGAAGTGGGCTCAATCGCTTTACGTGGGGGAAGTCACTCATATGCCCCCGGTAAAGCGACTGAGGGAGGAACCCATCACCTTCACAAACGCGGATCTCCCTCCTACTTCTTCTCCTCACATGGATGCCTTGGTGATTCGGACCGAAATAAACGACACCATTATTCACCGAACTTACATTGACACGGG